ACGAAAATTTTCGTGGCAGACGGCCTGAGACGTGATCTAACGAATCCTCGGGTAATTAGAATTTAGTTATGAAAGTTAGTAACATTCGAACAATGATTTTCACGAAAATGCAACGTATTACATTCTGCTTTGAATGATATACACGGAACTTTTTAAATAATTATTTATCAGCAAAAAACTAGTGAAACCTCAAATATGATCATTGAGAAGAAAAAGATTTCCTGAATAAAAATGAAGAAGTTGTTCTTCATATATTTGAGCATGTCAATGTTGTAGTTGATTCTGAGAGCTATCGATATTACTAGTTGAATGTCCTTGTTCATTGTTCTTTCATAGGGCAAAGTGAAAAACAAAAAGAGTGTTATACTTTGGACTCCCATTGTATTTTCTGTAGCTTTTGTTTTCAAAAACCATTAATACGCTTTAAAAAAAAACATTAGCGCTTGATTCAATTAAGTGACAGCTGCTCTTTTTATGAAATTATTTTTTCAAATGAATCGAAGTGAACGACAGCTGTTCTAATGTGCAATTAGTATTGTAATATAACAAAAGCCAATTTTTAATGTCTTCATAGATCATTATATTTCTTATTCTAATATTTAATGGGAAAGGGCAGGAGCGCATTAGAGCCCCTTTTGGGGCCATCTTTAGTTTTGTTTGTTGCCCGATTTAATGGATATGGGGTTTTGTGATGAATCGTCTAGTATAAAAAGAAGACTCCTCCGGAAGAATCTAGGCATAATTTTGCTCAAAGTATTGACAATCACTTTTGCACCATAAATGTATGATTCGCACACAAACGTACCATACATGTATGTTTTTCTTAAATAAGACATTTGAAATTAAAAATTATCAGAAAAGAAAACCCTTTCTATATTATATCTTCAGTCAAAGTTTCAACTTCAACAGATGAAATGTTGTCAAGCTAAAACTTTCACTGAAGATACACTATATGATGCGAAGTCATTTCTGATAATTTTCAGTACTCAATGTCTCATTGAGGAACAACATTCATCTATGATACTTTTATGTTTTAACCATAAATTTATGGTACAAAAGTGAATGTTGATATTCTGGTCAAAAATGAATCTAGATTCTTCTGAAACAGGCTTATTTTGTTAACAAAAGATTTTTTTATAATTTTGAATTAGCGTATTATAATTGGAGAAAAATTGAGGACGGCCCAAAAATGGCTTTTATACGCTCCTTATCCTTTGAAAAGCTAATCGATAGAACTTATTCTTATACTTTTTCAATCGTAAAATAACAACAGGAATGTGTCTGACAACGCTTCGGAAAATAGATTCGAATAATTGTATGTAGAGTTGGCAGAAGAACTTTTCATTTTCTTACTTTGACTAATAAATAATTGCCTGGTTTCACCGTGAGCAATGCTCCATCGAACGTTTCCAGATGGCTGAGACCAACGATTGAACATGTTCGAGATGAAGTTGGCTGATCGTGACAGTACCACCCACCATTTTTGCATTGACTAGAAAGAAATAAGAATTTAGAGGCAGTAAACAAGAAATTTTGTTCAGACCATTTTCTTCCATGTCGAAGTAAGATTTCATTTGGCATGAAGACTTTTCCATGAAGAAAACATGTACATTCATCTTGAGGTACACATTGTCGATTTTGACCTTCATCAATAAGTGTTCCGTTTGTACAAACACAACCAGAACGGCAATTACGTAAACATTCTTTATTATCAGATTTTACGTATGGATTCTGGCATGTTTTTGGACACCGACTGACACATTTTGAAAATACTTTATCCGGAGGACAATCGGAAAGTTTGCCGTTACTAGAAAGAAAAAATACATGATTGTTATTTGAATAATAGCAAAGCTTTTCTCGTTGCCTTACCTATCTTTGTAACCGGTCAAACAACGTAGAAGAGGAGACTTTTTGCTTCGTTGAGAAGTACAAAACTGTACAACCAACATAAAAATCAACACTTTGATTGCAAAGCTAAACATGATAACGTTAGCTTCTTCGTCGATTTCTGTTTTTGAGCCGCTGAGAAGGTTTCAGGGCTATTATATAGGGGCACAGTTAATGACCGCCTATTCATTTTTTTTGTTCGAGAACAAAGGAAAAAATGTATTTTAGCTGGTAACAGTTGGAAGAAACGGTCATTTACTTTTATCTAAAAAATATATTTCAAAAGAATATCGTTAAGAAATGATCATTATATCCTGATGTTGCATATTTTTTTCATGATCATTCGATTTTTTTTAAACTGCGCAGCATTAATTGATAGAATATACTAGAATCACAAGCTGTAAATAACAGTCAAGGTTACAGAAATTTTATTATTCACAAATTATTTATAGAATTGTTAGCAGAAAATCTGAGTAGAAAAATATTGTGACTGTTAATGAAAATATTAGTTTCTAGATTTAGCTCCTTTCTTTACTGTAGATTTCCAAAAAAAACAGTAAGTTTATTGAATGTTTAAAAATCTTAAATTCAGAAAACTTCCTGATCTATTATTAAATACGTCATGATTACATTGCAATATTATTATGGCATGGCAATGATTCTTACTTATGAAAAATGATTCAACTATAAAAGATTTTTATGGCCATATATGGATTCAAAGATCTATATGGTATGAGTGAGTTCAGTACCGTCAATATCAGTTATCATTGATATTCTAATAATTAATTAATAGATTGACTTTAACAATTGAATATCTCTTAGATAAGCGAGCAAAACAAAAGAATGCTTGATATATGATCACGTTTCATCTAATGTATCTATATACTCTTATGTAATAAAACTTAATCTTTACTAGCAAGGGAAAAAGATTTTCACTTTGTTTTTTCGAATATCATTTAATAATTCTATGAATCTAAAAAAATAATCAAATTTTTGTTCGAAAATATAATTTTATATTATGTTACGACGATAATCATATTTACAATGTCATTCTATCATCAATTAGAAAATAGGCTTTTCATATTTTGTCCCATACTTTTTGAACATGAGAAGTGAACGAACTAAGCCAAATTACTTTTCACGTTCTTTTTCTGTTGATTTATCTTACTGCTATAATTAATTTTTTTTAAATTTATTCAAACTAAATGCCGATGCTTTTTGATTACTTTCTTTAATATCATAATAATCATTTTAGTATCAATATAAGTGACAATTTTTCACTTGTTGAAACAAAGTCTGAGACAATAATTAGAAACAAGTTTCGACAAATAATATTTTTTTGACTAATAGTCTAATGTAGAAAAAACCTAAAAGCCATAGAAAAAATGAGAATTTTCGTACATTTGATTATTGTTGTTGTTCCTTAAAACTTAAGACCAATAAAAATTTAATATTTTCACAAAACCAATCAGCAGATATTGACCGGTTGAATACAGAAATAATCGTTGAATAAAAACTTACTGAAACCCACTCTTCTTTTAAAAAAGCAATCCTCTAAATGTTTCTCTAATCATTTATTTTCATGCATTTGTATAAAATAAATACTTTTATATTATCATTTCCTATTGATACTAGTTATATAAAATTAACTGAAAAGGAAAATGTACAATGTAAAGGGTTGAATTATTTTTTTTTTAGTCATTAGTTATCAATTTAAAGAAATAAATTCTATTTTTTCGAAGTTTATTTGTATAACAATTGTTGTGTGACTTCTATCTATGTATGCTTACGCCTATAAAATGAGAATTGAGTGTTTGAATATTGTAAGCGAACATGCACGATCGCCTACATTCATCTAGCATACAATGGTAGCCAAACTTCTGTACGCCACCGTGCTGCCGTCAGCGCACAGCTTTCTGGTTGGTTCGGTGTTTTCGCTTGTTCTCTTTCCTTTTATTTAGTTGCTTATTTGCTTGCTTGCTTGCTTGCTTGCTTGTTTCATTCTTTTATTCTCTTTTCTAACATTGCTCTTGTCCTTGCTTACTCGGTGCGCTCACTGTTGATGGTGGCGTTCGAATGGCAACAACATTGACGCAGAAACAACAAAGAGTAGCCGTCGTCACACAAACGAGCAATGGATGAGACTTATGTCTTTATCCATCCATCTCTATTTCTCTTAATAAATGTCGACAAAACTGTCGATAAAAAATTTCTCAATCTTTCATCAATATTCAATGTTGCATATTCTTTTTGAGACTATATGAAAAAAGTGAAAAAGAGAGGGAGAGAGAGAACACAGAAAAGTGCATTATCTAACTTACACTGCCTCATACGTTTGCCCTTCGGATTTGACTCGTCCTTTTTCCTTCTGTGACTTGGAATACAACAAGACATACAAAAAGTGAGAGAAAAAACAATATAATAATCGTAATTAACATGGGACATCTGCAGACATGCGCATGAAAATTAAAATAAAGTTGAAACGTTCTTTTCTTTAGTTAGAATTTCTCTGCAAAAAGAATGAACTAAATTTTTTGAAAAAAAGCTGAAACAAACAATTATTGATCTATTATTTCTTATTCGTTCTCAGGCATGAACTCAATATAGGCAGCAGACGTATACACTGTATAGTACATTTACATACAGAGACAAGTGAGAGAGAGCTACTACTATCCGTGGTGTGTAGCATATAAATTGCTTTCATATTTTTTGTTCTCTTGCCTTTCCTTCTAGTCCCTTCTTGTCTCTTTCTTTTTTACCACGCCCAGTGTGCTAGGGAGCGCGTCACTATTCGCATAACTACTCATTTCTGTCAATGACTTTTGTTTTGTTTAAAGAGGAAGAGAGGACGATGGTCATGTGTTTTGTTCCGATTTATGTCAAGCATCTTTTTTTTTCTTGCCATATGCTTTGTATTTTGTTTTATTTTTTCAAGACAATAGTTAAAATATAGCCATGGTTAAGACATAAGTCAAATGTGTATTGGTCATTAGTAAAAAAGATCAATACAATACATTAAACTATTCAATGGAAACTACAATGACAATTACAATTAAAACCCATTGAATTTCTTTAGGTTGTTCATGACTATCCGAGTGATACTAGAATAAAAGCTTAGTAGACATCTATATGAGAAATCTTTTCCATCGTAAATTATTTTCAAAGGAATGGTTTCAACACGTTCTGAAATAACTGTCAACAACAGCAACGGCGAGAGTAGCGTCAACAAGACGCAGTCAGTCGTCGTTATCATCTTTTTTTTTCTTACTGTTAAGATATGAAAGAGCGAATGTCTGTAATGAAAGGACGAGTGCAAAGAACTTTCATCAAATGCATACAGGTGAAAATCAAGAACAGTATGGACCTTCTATCGAATTGTCTCTGTTTTCAGCAAGGTGACAGCCGTTCCGTTCAATAGGCGAATAGTAAAAAAAAAAAAAGAAGTTTTTCCTTGCTTTTGAAAGTACATGTACTGTGTGTGTCAAGAGATAGGAGAAGACAGAATGGAGACGGACGAACGAACGGACGAAGAGAAGAGTGTACACGTGTGGCGTGTTGTGCTTTCTTATGATTCCTATTTATTAACAACCGAAAAAACCTTTTTGCTTTTTCGTCGCGTCTCTCTTGTTCTCTCCCTCTTTCTCTTCTACTTGCTCGCTTGCCTCTGTATGTGTCCTCTTTTATTTTCTCGTGCAAGAGAGAGAGCAAGCATTGCTTGCTCTCGCGCTCGCGCGCGTTTGCTGCTTCTCTCTCCCTGTGTGTCTCTCCTCCACCCACTACTAGACTACTACTACACATCGCGTCTTCTTCTCACCATCATCCATGCTTTCTTTTGTTTCGACATCGGGGTTTTTTGCTTACAACACTTTTACACATAATGATGAGTATCATCGGATATAATATACACTTTTTTTTATTCTACAGTGAAATTGCATTTTATACAATGCGACGAATATTCAAAATAAAAATAAAGAAAACAACAGATTTGTTTGGACATTATGCTTATCTTTCTTTCTTTCCCTCTCTCTCTATTCTATGAGCGCGCGCGCATGTTGTCCGTCCTTCTCTTATGTTGTACGCACAAAGATTATAGTCGAAGATTTAGTATGAATAACGCTAGTTTAGTTTTCTGTTCTTTCCATCTTTGTTTATTTTGAAAAGAGACATCACATTCGTTGTTGTTATTGTTGTTTTTTCTCTTCTTGATATATATATATGTACGTATACGAATACGTATTTATACCAGTTCTGAACAAATGAAAAAAAAACAATAAGCGACATCATTTTCAATTATTCATTGTGACTTTATTCGTCAATACTTTTTTTGCAGTATGTGAATGTTTGTTTTCATACTTTTTCTTGCTGTTGCTCTTCTTCCTCTTCTTCTTTTTCTTTTAAATATAACATGTTAATGAGTGATATATACATATATATTTATATATATGTATATTTACTCGAAAATTTAGAGGATAGAGAGGATACGAGAAGACTTTTTTCTCATTTTGACCTCGATTGAACATTCGTCGTCGCATAATTATTCTCTTTTCTGTCTCTCTCTCACTCGTTCTCTCTCTTACTCGAGTAAGCGAACGCGCGTAGCGCTCTATCCTAAAAAAAAGAGAGGGTGTTCTCCTGCTCTCTGTCTCTTTCTTTCTCTTTCTCTCTCTCTCGGCGCACGCATAGCGCAATGTGATCATCCATCATTGCATAGCATACAGAGAGCAAGAGACGAAGAGAAGAAAACCGTAATGATCGCTTCTCTCCTCCAGCAAGCAAGAAGAAAGACAGAAGAGAGAAGGAAGACGGCGGCGACACAAGAGGAAAAAACAACAACAGGCGCGCGCTTTTCTTACGCATATACAATTGAAAATATACTACTCGAATTCAGAAGACGGTAAATTTTTTTTCTAGATGATCTTCTCACCAATTACAGCGATGAATACAGCACCACTAATCTCACCACGTGTACAATCACCATCATTTATTCGTAAAAGAAATTTACCAACTCCTCCTCCTTCTTTTGCTGATGTCAACGATTCTTCATCATGTTCTTCTTCTTCTT